AACTACAGTCCCAGTCATTTTTGGATAAACTTGTTTGTTTTGTGCTCTGTTTGACTTCTTGTGCAGATGTTAAGGCTTTCTCATTCCTTGCTCTTAACAACCCTCAACTTTAGATGAACTACTGACCTCAGTGTGGCCTTGACCTGCTTGTTATTTGCTCCTGGTGGACCATAGCCTCTGATGTTATTCTAAAGAGGCCTTGCTCAGAAGACAAAGTTAGCTCTTGAACTAACCTTTCCCTGTGCAAACCACTCCTAGCTATGAGGAAACCATTCCTGGGTTATGAGAAAAATAAACAAACAGCTCAAAGGCCTTTTTGATCTAAGGATACACTCACAGAAGAGGCTTCCCACTGGTTCCCTGCATGATTCATTGCTCTTTCCACCAGCTTCTGCTGAGCAGAATAGTTTGGTTTCATCTCTCTGAGTAGGGGAAGAGCAGAACATTAATAATTCTGCATAAAAAGATGCCTCTAGAGGGAGAAGTGTATTGCAGTTCTCCAATAACTTGTTTGCTAGGCTCATTCCTCCCTCATTCCAACCATACTCTTTAAAGCCATCCTTTTCAGATGTAATTGCAAAGTGTGCCTCTGGATTTTATTCAATAATAATGTGCAGCTATCCCAAGTTAAAAAAATAATGAACTACCAGAAAGAGCATCCTGGAATGCAGTGCAAAAGACAAGGTTCTACATTCAGGTTTAATTTTTTAACATGGAAAAATAATCTGAGCACCAGAAATTACATCAGAACTGGCTTGGTTTTGATGACCAAGAAAAGTAGAGTGCTAATGCTTTGGTATTGTGCCCACCCTGACTTCACAGAATAATTTATACTTTATAAACCTTTCTTACAAGTACAACTTTCCATTTGTCCATTCTGCAACAACCTTGGCATGGTCAGATGACAATAAGAAAACAAACACTTTTCAGATTATTGGGAATGTCTGATTTTAATCCATACAAGGGAAGGAATTCAAGATTAATTTCAAGATGTATCCATTTCTTGGTAAAGCACATGAATAGATCTGCATTTAGCCTGTGTTTTTTTTTTTTTCCTATAAAAATATTGAGCGAAATTTAGTGTAGGTAAGTGCTTCTGGTCGAGTACTGTACTTAATGTTTGGTGTGACCTGTATGGATCAAATTCTGTAAATAGTCTACAAAGGGAAACAAAAAGTTAAGTGCGAGATCAATCTGTCCCATCTCCCCCGAGTGTCCTTCTATTTGCTTCAATTTACGGCAAAGTAAAGGAATGGTTTTCTGCAAGTAGTTGTAAGGGTGATTAATATAGAGAGTTTACCTAGAAATTAAAATATTGCTATAACATTATCCAGCAACATCCTTATCCATAGCCAAGATAATGATGATAACAATAAGTGAGGTGTCTCCCTTATTTTTAACATCTTTTTATTCTTTGTTTTATTTTTATTTTTATATTTTTAATGTATTTTAGATATTTATATTTTTAATGTTTTTAACTTTGTTGTATGCTGCCTAGAGTCACCTGTGGTGAGATGAGCAGCTATATAAATTGGTTTAATAAATAATTTATTAAACTTGTATGCTGCCCAACTCTCAATGACTCTGGGTGGCTCACAATAGTCAAAGAAATTACAATAAAATCAATAAAAAATAAAAAAATAAAACTAAAAGATGTCAAGCGCAATGAAGTGAGGAGTCTCACTCTTCTTCGCTGAAGGCCTGGGTGAAGAGCCAGGTCTTCATGACTTTTCTAAAACAGCAGAATGGGGGTCATCCAGATCTTGGGAGGAACCTTGTTCCAGAGGGCAGGCACTGCTACAGAGAAGGCAGACTTCCAGGGTCTTAAGAGATGCCATTGTATAATTGAAGGAACCCAGAGCACACTAACCTTGCAGGATCAAATCAGTCAGGAGGTGTTATGGGAGATAGGCAGTCCCTCAAGTAACCAGGCCCTGAACCATGTATCTTTCTGTAATATCCACTTTTTTAATGTCTGTGTTCCACTCAACAGTTTTCTAATATTAATTCTCTTCTTTGAATCTCTAGTCCATTTCATTGCTTCCTATTGGTATGAGTTGTGAGTCTGTGCCCTTTTCTATATCATTTTCTATTTCAATAGAGTGAGGGAGGCTTTAATTATTTATTTACTCCCATTAGTATTTTCTTAAAAAAAAAAGTAGTAGTAATATTTTATAGCACTTAAAAAAGAAAAAGAAAAATGAGAGAGGATTAGTTATTAAAGCCCCTCCCTCCATTTGTCCTTGTGGGAAAAGAAACTGACATGTTGATTTAGAGAGGCTATTCATCTGTAATCAAATGGAAGTAATGAAACAGACTGAATTTTCAAAGAGGAAGTAAGTGTACAAATTGAATACAGCATAAGAACACTGAAATCACACTTTCGCCTGTCAATATTGTACAGTTTATCACAAAACTGCAGTTGCTGTTTATCAAGGAATATCATCGTGGAACAAGAAAATATTATTTAGAGAACATTGGAATGCAATGGACTATTATTGTATGGTGGATGAAAGGTGATCACTTCAAAGAAAAGACTATGGAAGCATCATGATTTTAGATCAATTCATTTGATCAACTTGCAGTTGTTACGACATTTTTAGTGTTGCATAAAATTGTTTTATTAAAGTGGTGACACAGATCAATATTTCCTTTGTTAGAGAAGGCAAACCCAGTATTGGCTTATAAGCAACCACCTATGGTTGGGGTTCAAGTTCCAGAAGCTTCTTCTGACATAATGTTGTGTTTCCCAGGCAAGCGAAACATGAGTGGGGATGTTCCCCTTCCCTTTGTTAGAGCTCTACTGCTGCCAGTTATTTTCTTTGGAGAGTAAATGATTGTGGTTCCCCCTGTGACTTATCCTGATGCCTTCAGGAATGATGCCTGTTCTTTTGACCAAGGAAGATAAGCCAGATTACTATCGTTTCACACTTCTACCATCCTCTTGGGTACTGTATTCCTGTGAAGAGTGTAAGGGCATGGGAACCATTGCCTGCAAGGGACCTTCTTGGGACTGGCTAGAATGGAGGAATCAAGCTTTGGAATTTGCTACCTGTAGATGTAGAACTAGCTACCAGGTTTGGCTGGCTTCAAAAAAAGAGCTGTACCAACTCATGGGAGTCATGGGCACCAACAGCTATTGGTCTTGATGGCAGTGTGACTGCTTCTGAAGGCCATCTGCTGAGAGACTAGTGGACTTCCTTGTGCAACTGGTTGGCCACTGTGAGAACAGACTCCTGGACTAGATGGTCCAAGGGTCCGATCCAGCAGGGCACTGCTTATGCTCTTATGATTGTGGTGATAGCATCTAGCTCATCTGATCTAAGTTAAGCAGGATCAGGCCTTGTTAGTGCTTGGATAGGAGACCACCAGGAATATCAGGACTATAGATTGCACTGGAAGGTCAAAATAACGTCCCAGAAGAAGGCAATGGCAATGGTAACCTCTTCCATAGGAAGCCACCAGAAGTTGAACTTGTCTGAAAGATTTCATTTTTTAACAGAGTTATTATAAAGAAAATGTATATTATTATCTTAAAGCTGTTTTCTTATTGTAAGGGCCGTATGTGTTATAATTTCAAGTTTTTCTTCCTAGATGTATTTTAGTGAGATTATTTTTCTACATACACTTTAAAATGCAGCAACTTTGACTATGCTTCATTTTAGATTTTATATATACAGGTAGTTCCCAGGTTAAGAATGTCTGGTTTAAGGACAACCCATAGTTAGGAACGGAGCCTATTGTAGCAAAATTTGAGTTAAATACACAGTGATTCGAGTTAAATACACAATGGTTTGAGTTAATTACCCAACTAATTATATAAAAATTTGAGTTAAATACACAGTGATTCGAGTTAAATACACAATGGTTTGAGTTAATTACCCAACTAATTATATAGTATTATACAATAATACTGTTCCAGCTTACATAAAGATTCGATTTAAGGACAGACCTTGGGAACGGAACTCGTTCTTAAACTGGGGACTACCGTATTAGGGTATATATATGTATATATATCAGAAAAACACCATATTAAATGATGTATTGATTTAATCATGCAATTGCCTCTTGAGTGCATCTCTGCAGCTTTTAATGGATAGCTGCACAGACTTTGAAAGAATTGTGCATGCTCCCAAATTGTGCTTATGTTCTAGAATTATTTTTTACCACTTTTCCTACTTGAGCGGGAATCTAGGGGCAATCAAATGCAGGGCTGACTGAGCCCATGTTCATTCTTGGCTGCAAAAGATAAAATATAATTAAATTCCTATCCATAGACATTTGGGTCACAATCCAGCCAAAATGAAGCACTGCTAAGTCCAATTTATTTCACTGGGATAGAGTTAAAGCTGTATACAACTCTTCTGTCAAAGAAGTGGAACATAAAATGCTTCTCTTTGCTTGAACTATGCCCAAATAATATTTTAAAAAGTTGGCTGACCCACAATACTTTGAACAGTCCATAGTTTATCATTGTCAAGTATGTATTTTCCATTGAGCCCAATTTGCTACAGGCAGATTTTTTGATACCTGCAGTCCTAATACAGTATATCTCTGATCTTGTTTGAGTTATGTGTAGACTTTGAGAGGGTATTTTCTTTGTGTCCCACAAAGTTACTCTTCAGAATTCATCTTCTGTCCCTTGGTCTATAAAAGTTTAATATTCAGTTGCAATCTTAATGCATAGCAAATACATTGGGAAGCACATGAATACTACAGCAGCTGTTTGGCCATGGCACACAGCCTTCATTAGCAGTCCCTGTAAGAAAGAAAATTGTAGGATAAAGCAATGCAAATGTATTTCCAACTGGGGGACTGACCTAGGCTTCCTGGACTTTTTTCAAGTATACAAGTATCTCATTGTATCTGTAAAACACTGCTAAAAAGGCAGCTCCTCTGCAAACATAGAGCTGAAAAGTGAGACCTAGGCATTTGTGGAAACTGTTCGTCATCGTTTCGTGACTTAATCAGTGCCTTTTACTTCTGTGTCTTCTTCACAGTGTTGAGCATTCGAGGGGCTCAGGAGGAGGAACCCACAGACCCACAGCTAATGCGGCTGGACAACATGCTCTTAGCAGAAGGGGTAGCTGGCCCTGAGAAAGGAGGGGGCTCGGCAGCGGCAGCAGCAGCGGCAGCAGCATCAGGGGGTGCTGGCTCAGACAATTCCGTAGAACATTCTGACTACAGAGCAAAACTCTCACAGATTCGGCAGATCTACCATACAGAGCTGGAGAAGTATGAGCAGGTACCAGTCTTTTCTGTGGCAGTTTCTTGTTCTTTGGCAGAGGCCAAGCTGTAGTGTTAGGGTGGCCTCATCTACAGCACAGTCCTCTGGTTCTCTCTTGGCTCAGGGACGGAAGGTGCATCTTTTGACTGAAGGACTTGGCAAGCGTTTTCCTTGACTCTGCTGCTTCAGCTGAAGAGTCTGAATGTATGAAATGGGCACATGCTAGGTTTCTGCATTTAGAAAGATAGCATATAAGGAAAATGATATAGGCTGAACCCATCTCTCTGAGATGCTAATATTCAGTATATAGGACATTTTGTCCATGGAAAACATTCCAGTGGGCAACCTCTCCCCCATTTCAAATGATGCAGTTCAGAAAAAGCATTACCATTTGGAATCTGCTGAACATTTAAATTGGATGTTAGGTATTTATGGTCAAAATAATGTATTTCAGCTATGAAGTCAGAGATGCTGTGATCGTACCTTAGGTCAGTTGCTTCTCCTTGAAGAAAAAAGGGCATAAAAGAGAAAAAAAATGTTTTAAAACTATTAACACACTAATAGTTATAGGCACCATAGATGCAATCCCAAGACATCTGGAGCATCACCTGAACACCATCAGCATTGACAAAATCACCATCAGTCAATTGCGAAAGATAGCTTTACTTGGAACAGCTTATATCCTGGGGTGATACCTCTAACGCCATCAAACAATAACATCTGCCTATCCCAGGTCCTTGGGAAGGACTCAATAGGTGGATAAAAATGCCAAATCCAGTCTAAACATCTGGCTGACTGTGCAACCAACCGTAATAACAATAATAACAACAGCAATTCAGTGGAGGAAATACTCTCAAGGCAATTAACACCTGGGCAATACCAGTGATTAGATACACAGCTGGAATAGTGGACTGGATTCAAGCAGAATTAGAAGCCCTGGATAGGAAGACCAGAAAAATAATGACAATGAGTCATCCTTCATCCATGCAGTGACGTTGACAGACTCTACTTACCAAGAGCATAGGTGGCCGTGGAATGTTGGAAGTACATCAGACGGCTGAAGAAGAAAAAAGGGCATTAGAAGAATATCCGAAGGTGAACCATCTTGTTAGCTGCTGCAAGAAGATCACACAGACTGACTACAAACAATGGCATGACAAAGTAGCAACAATGGTGCA